CATACATGCTGACAAGTATATGAAGTCACTAACAGTCATCCAGTCAGTTCTGATTACTTCTATATATCCTTAAATACTTGTTCTCAAAAAAAGTTAAATTAATTTTAAATATAGGTTGGCATCATTCTATCATGCTCAGAATGAGAAATTATCGTCTGTCTTTGTTCCCCCACCTTCTTCTGCAATGTGCCCAAAGCTGCACCATTGCTCCACAAATAAAGCCAACTCATGCCTTTGGACACGTGACTGCTAAACTAAAACTACTTCATACAACTGACAGCAAAGCTGTGCTAGCACAAATTTTACTGGATAACATGAAACTTAGCTATGGGAAAAATTGAGCCATGAAGTCTGGTGAAGAATAACCCCCACAGAGCCTTTTTTACAACTGAATCATATGAATGATTTCTGAAATTGTCCTTCTTTATACATACATAAGGTATGAGCGGCTCTTGATGACATAAAGATGTTTACCTGATGCTCAGAAAGTGACCTACATGCCCTGCCAAATTAGAATTCTTTGAGTAGTTTAAAATTGCACAGTAGGAAAAAAAAAAAAACAACTCAAGAACCCAGACTGAATTTGAGTTTACGTTCATCACTGAAGGTGTATACTTCAAAAATTTTATCCAACGGCTCAGCCAGTTCCTGATACAATTTAACACAATTTAGCCTCCAATGTTTTATATTCCTTTGTGATATATAAGGCATTTTCCTTGCTGGTTGCTGTTATGTACCAATGCAGCAGCAGACAGTAATTAAAATCTTGCATTAAAACTCTGTTAACCTCAGATTTATGAACTTTTGATATTCTTTGTAAAATATGGACTGTTATACAACTGGCAGGTAAAATTTTCCTCCTCTTTACTTTCCCCTTTTCCTCCCAGCCTGTAACTGGCCACACAGAACAGAAATGAAGTCATTGGCTTCAAGTGGACTAAGTCTATATGTAGATTTGTGTATGTGAAAGATTATGAATCATATCAACAGTTACTTCACTACAAATCAGTCAAAAGCGTCAGGGTCAAGCAAAGAGCTTTTGCCCTCTCCATTGCACCGCGCAGGAGTCGGAGCGGCTTCCTTTACGTAGGCCTTGGACTCGGAGCTTGTGAAGAGGAGAAAATGGTGCGACCAAACGTTATTTGTCACACGGCAGGGGTTCTTGTCCCGGAAAAAAAACCCAAAAAACAAACAAAAAAAGCAAAACATAAAACATACCACCCCCCAACATTGTAAAACGGCCTGAAGACTCAAGGGTTGGTTGTTTTTATCCCTGTAGTTTGACCACGTTCCGTTGCCTGTGCAACTGTTACTCTTCTGCGTGTCAGCTGCAGGGTTGGATGCAGTTCGGGAGCTTCACTTTTGTGCTCTTATCTTTAAATGTCAGCTCAACTTACTAGCTCTTCCACTTCCTTGTCCAGAAGAAAGCTTGCTTTTTAAATTATTTTTTTTTTTAATACGTGCCACTAAATCTATGCAAGTTGTTATGGTTAACCAGGCAAAGAATGTGTCTCTGAATTTATTAGTTGGACAATTAGCCAAAGCAAGAAGTCCATAAATGGAAAGCATTGAATTTAATGCTCAAATAGAAATTAGAATGGCATGCTTGAAAAGGGAGAAATTATGTTCCTAAACGCTGTTAAATTCTCCTGTAATTTTAAATGTTAGCGATATGCTCACTTGAGTAACGAAGGAAGAGAAGGCACAATAGAGATATAGCAGTCTACTTAATATTGTAGTGCATGAGATGGCTGAAGGCTAAGAATCCATGTGAAATTCTGAACTTTAATCAGTGGCTCATAAGTGTCTAGGAAGAATCGCTATGTTAATACAAACTTGATACGATGATATATAAGCTGGTAAACCTGTTTGAAGTGGTGAGCTGTGTGAATAAGTAACTATGGTAGTGTTACAGGTAAGCTAAATGGAAGCAAAATTTCTGTAGAAGTACTGAGAGTGGGGTTCAGATTAATTTAAACAGAAATAAGTGGGATTTTTGTTTGGGGGGACTTTCTGGCAGGGGGTGAGGAGGATTGGTTGGGTTTGTTTTTTTTTTCCTTGGAAGATGAAACTGACAGTGATGCTAATTTTAAAAAGTTACTAAAAAAGCCCCCAAAACAAACCAGGATGGATTAGATCCTTTAGTTATGCCATCTCTTCTGTTAACTTCTGCATCAGTAAATACAGTTCTTTGAACAAGCCAGAAAGGTTACAAACTTAATGTGGAAATCCCAGTAGGGTTTAGGCTTTGTAAACAGCTAACTTGTAGGTATTTTTAAAAGGAACTTCTATATTAGGAAAAACCACTGTAATGGTGGTGTTTTGTTTGTAGTGGTGTATATTAGCAGTGGAATGGGTCATTTTCCTTGGGAATTCTTCAAAACAAATTATCTACCTGTGCATAAAAGCTAGTTTAGTGGCATGTTCCCAAAGTAAAGGGAACTATATTGAAGTGTGAGATACGCCATTTCACTAATGTTTCTTCAGGAGGAAACTTCCTCAATCTAAAGAGCTCTAACTTAAAAAGTGCTTATATGTAAAATGGGCTTTTACTTGCATATTGCAATCTTGTGCAGAAAGATGAGGAAGTTGTAGAATGCATGGCTACAGTAAAGGTTGAAAGCATCGCGTAGTTGGGTGGATCTAGATCTGAACGATGTGTGGTTTAGATGTTTTGCTGATACTTGTGAAAACCTTCTGAAAACAAGCTAAACCCACTGTTAATCCCAAGCTTGACCCTGACATGGAATCTGAAGTGAGTATCGGTCAGTGATCAATATAAAACATTGCTTATTGATATTGTATGTTCTGCATGCACTTGGTTATGATAGTCCTGTGTACTCTGTTGTGTTGTAAGTAGTTAGCTGTTAGGTTTGGTTGAAGTTAATAACAGTGGATCAGTAGTCATGAATCAATTGAAGTCTCCTGATCAAAGATTGGAAAACTTTCACAACTACTAACAGGATGTGAAGTGGGTTCTGCGAAAATATGAAAAACATAAGGGCAATATAACTGCTAAGAAGAAAGTGGTAAAACATAGATGCGGTATATGTACTTGTTTTAAAGTGTACTGGGTTTAATTAAACAGGCCTCAAATAGGCCTTAGATCACACTTTTCACAGTGACAGTTTCATGTTTTAAAAAAGTGACTCCATATTTGATAGAGCGGTTTCTTAAAAACCTCTGCTAGTAAATATCCACTAGACATCCATCCTGCTTTTTCTGCAAAAAGTTTTCTCCATTCTTCCATATCTTACTTTAAACATTTCACAAACAGTTACTAGGATTTGGAAAGTATATATTGCAAGTTTTCACGTAAATTTGTTTAAAATGAAAAATGCAAGTTATTCCCCAGTGGTTAGCAAATGCATAGTACGAAATAAACTTGGCAGTAAATAAATCTACTTTTTAGTTTGTTCTGTTTAGTAGCCTCACCAGCAAAATTACCAGATTACCAGACTTTGAAAGATTACATAATGCTAGTTTACCTTTTTACCTCCTTTTATCTCCAGGACATGTTCTTTTGTAGATGGAGGAAGGAGCTTGGATAAGAACCAGTATTGCTGATGTTGCCTTCCCTTCCAAAATTCTTCTGTCTTTCTCTGGGTTTGCATCCTTTTAGAACTCTGTCCAGTAGGGTAAACTAGCCTCTCCAGTGCTTGCTTCAGTTTAATTGCACAGCCCTTAACTATTTGCTTCCTGGTGGAAGTGGCAACTCTGTTTCCCCATAAAATTAAACTTTAATTTATGATGCTGTAGGCTGTTAAATAAGGCGTTCGTGAAATAAAACCTTTATAGTTTTACATGGAAAAAGGTCTTTTTTGTTTGAATCATTAATAAATTTATTTTTGTGTGTGAGGTACAGTGTATTTCCAAAGATGTGTGCTTTCTTGGCAGTGATGATAGATCACAGCATAGTAAGTTGGTATGGCTGGGTAACAGAAATTATTACTTAGAGTATTTAAATGAACCTATTGTGTATGCAAAGTGATTGCACTTTTGTACTTCTAGGTGTTCCCTATCACTTCTTTTCTACACAGTAATGTAAATATTTTAAACTGTAGATTTTTTTCCTTGTTAATGTTACAGGTTTTATTTTAAGACAATTTTTGGTTCACTCACAAATATGCTTCCAAAACAATACCTTTTTAATGCCAGAAAAAAAGACTGTATTACATGGGTTTATTTGCTAAAATGAAATTGCTTGGTCAAGATAGAGAACTTGGGCTACGCCCTAAAGTAAATAAGCATGTAACAAACCCTCATTTGCTTCAATGGAAGTATTAAAGGCTCTTCTTGGAATTAATTTTTTTTAAACTCAGCCATAATACATATTTCTAAAATTAGAAAACATTGGCAAAAATGTCTTTATTTCTGTCTTGGTCAGAATAAAGGGATTTTTTTAAATGGATATTTATTTTAATGGAGGCCCTAGTCATCTAGCTTCCTAAGATGCTGTACTCAGGGATCTTGAAGCATAAATTTCATGACAGAATAGTGTTTAAAGGCCATTGGCAACTTTTATATTTTTTTAAGTAGTAGTGAACAGTACTACAACTGAAATATGTGTAAATTATGCTTACACAATGGCAGATCTGGTATAGCTTTTAATTTGTTTTATTTTTCCAATTCACGTCTGGGACAAGAATGTTCATAAAATTAATATAATTCAAAATGCTCAGTATTTTGTTAGTCTGCGTGATATAAATTGGACAGTTGAGACTTAGATTACACAACTGTGTTTTGTATATAAATGTATATCAATTTAGGCACTTGTACCTCTCCATGTTGGGTTAAACTACTAGATGGGACTCTGAAGACCTGCATTTCATTCCTGGCTGCTCTGCTCTCATCTAGGTGACATTAGGCAAATGACTTTGCTTACTCATGTCTCAATTTCCTCATCTTTAGAATAGAAGTAATG